GCCCCACACATGTTGGGGTTGGCCTGTGGACTCAGGCGGCTGGCTCGGCGCCTACTTCCCACGCCAACTGTGTGCAGCCTCTGCGCCAAGGCGGGCACCTTCCGGAGGTCCCCACCCTCTTCTCCCGGGGAGGCCCTGCACGGTGGCTGTCCAGTCCTGTCCTCCAGTTGCTCTTCAAGTCATGGTCATTTCCACTGTGCCCAGCAGACCTTGTGAAGCTCCCTCACCGGTGCCCCACGAGGCTAAGGGCTGAGGGAGGCCTGCTGTGGCTGGGGCCCTGGTACTGCGTGTGCCTTGGGTTCAAATCCACCACTTATTCAGTGTGTGACCTTAGACAAATGATGTAGCCGCTGCGACCCTTCTGTGTCCTCCTCAAGGCGTAAGAGGGAGAGCCCGGGGCCCGGACACAGCTGAGCCGGAGGGACACGGTCCAGCTTGTCCCTGCTGCTGCACTCTGTGGGCTGTGGGGAGCCGGACCAAGATGTGCCAAGCCTTCGCCTTCCGAATTCTCCACTTCCCTTTAAAATTCTTCTTCTGTGAGTTGTACCGGTCTGTGGCCTTCCCCTCCACTAATTATGGTTACCCCCCACACACACATCCAGAGACATGCAAATTGCTTTAGGTAGGAAGATTTTAGTGACTAAATATAGACCATGATATGACAAGAGTTTAATGTCTTTTTTTAAAATTTATTTATTTTTTTAAATTGATTATGCTGTTACAGTTGTTCTATTCCCCCCTTCATTCCCCTCCACCCTGCCCCCCATCCCCACCATTACCCCCCTTTAGTTTATGTCCATGTGTCTCAAGTCCTTTAGGTTCTATATTTCCCATGCTATTCTTGCCCCCCCCCCATCTATTTTCTATCTATTGTCTATGCTACTTATTTTCTGTACCTTCTCCCCCTTCTCCTCCTCCCACTCCCCTGTTGCTAACCCTCCTTGAGATCTTCATTTCTATATTTCCACTCCTGATCTAGCTGTTCTTTTAGTTTGCTTTCGTTTTAGGTGTGGTTGTTAATAACTGTGAGCTTGTTGTTCTTTCACTGTTCAGGTTTCTTTAACTTCTTTTTCTTAGATAAGTCCCTTTAACATTTCATATAGTAAGGGCTTGGTGATGATGAACTCCTTGAATTTGGTCTTATCTGAGAAGCACCTTATCTGTCCTTCCATTCTAAATGAAAGTTTTGCTGGATAGAGCAATCTTGGTTGTAGGTCTTTAGATTTCATGACTTGGAATATTTCTTTCCAGCCCCTTCTTGCCTGTAAGGTCTCTTTTGAGAAATCTGCTGACAGCCTGATGGGGACTCCTTTGTAGGTGATTGTCCCCTTAGCTCTTGCTGCTTCTAGGATTCTCTCCTTCATTTTAATTTTGGCTAATGTAATTATGATATGCCTTGGTGTGTTTCTTCTTGAGTCCAACTTTTTTGGTACTCTCTGGGCTTCTTGGATTTCTTGGAAGTCTATTTCCTTTGCCAGATTGGGGAAATTTTCTTTTATTATTTGTTCAAATAGTTTTTCCACTGGTGGTTGTGTCTTTCCCCCTTCTGGTACCCCTATAATTCGGATATTGGAGCGTTTAAAGATGTCCTGGAGGTTCCTAAGACTCTCCTCATTTCTTTGAATTCTTGCTCCTTGACTCTTTTCTGTTTGGCCATTATTTGCTTTCTTCTGGTCCACTCCATTGATTTGAGTCCCAGTTTCCTTTTCATCTCTATGGGTTTCCTGTGGAATTCCATTCATTTCCCTTAATTTAGCCTTCATATGTTTCTCTAATTTGTGGCTATAATCAACCAGATCTGTGAGGAAGCTGATGACCAGTGTTTTAAACTGTGCGTCTGAGAGTTTTGCTATTTCTTCGTCGCTTAGATTTATCTCTGGGGCTTTGAGGTCTTCCTGCGACATTTTTGGTCTGTTCTGGCCCTTTAAATGTGAGAAGCGGCGGCTTGGACTCCCAGGTCGCTGGGTTGTGACGCACGCTGTATGTGGGGGCGTGGTCAGAGCGGGGAAATGGCGGCGCCCTCTATCGCCTCCGCCGCGGCCGGTCCAACCGCCCACTCCCTCGCTCGTGCGCAATTAGGCAACCACAGTCAACACGCTGCACGGCCTCCCCACTGTCTCCTCTGCAGTCGCTCACCCGGTGAGTTGCTGGGTCGCTCACTAGGTCCAATCCTGGGTTTGGAACCCGTGCGTCTGGATTCGCGCGTCTGGATTCCGCGCCCGGTTCCGCGTCTGGATTCCGCGCCCGGTTCCGACCGAGCCCTCCTTTGTAACTCCTCACCAGACGCCGGTTTTGCCCCTTACCGGTCGGGCTGAAGAATTTGTTGTTAGCGGACTTCCGAAAAGTTCAGTTTTCCGTGTTCTGGTTGTGTTTTCTGATGCTATTATTTAGTTGTCCCTAAACTTGGTTGTGTGAGGAGGCACGGCACATCCACCTAAACCTCCATCTTGGCGGAAGTTGCCAAGAGTTTAATGTCTTTATTGAGAAACAAAGGCTGCCTTTCAACTCATTATGAAACTTGCCTCAAGCAAGAAGTTACCTGGGTGGGGTCGGGGAGGAAAGCTCAGGGAATTTCTCAACAGCAGGTTGTCGAGACGGACACTCCCTTCCTTTGTCCTGTGAGGGCAAATGTGGTCCGGTTTCACAGACAGGAACTGACCGGATATGGTCCTCGAGGGGGCCCAGTGACTCGCCCCAAGGCCACAGGGCTGGCTGCAGACCCCAGGGCTTTTCTCCCTTCTCTGCACGGGTGCCCTGACATCAGGCATCAGTGGTCTGTTTTCCAAAAAAAACAAGGCCCAGATTTGGGGTTTGAGACCCGATGCGGGTGCGGGCCTGTGGACAGGTGCCATATAGAGGTTTTGATCCATTATCCAGATTCCAGTCCAGCTCGCCACTCGGTGGCTGAGTGATATTGGGCAATTTAATTACCTCCCGGTGCCTCAGTTGCCCCACCTGTTAAATGGGTCCACTAACAATATCTGTTTCATAGAGTGGTTTTCAGATTTAGTGAAATAATGTACATTAATACATGTGAACACTCAGAAGCAAAACGCTTAGAATGGTGACCAGCAAGAGACAATCCTCAGCCACGTTGCTTATCACGTGGGGAACTGAGGATGGCTGCGGTGGGTGGGGAGTAGTGTGGAGGGGGGCGGGGAATGGAGACAACTGTACTGGAACAACAACAAAAATGTGAAAAAAGTTATCAACCTCCGAGGGGACTAGGCTGGAGGCTTGGGAGATGGTGTCTCATCCACCAGGGGCTCAACCTCTCGGTCAGAAACCAGCAGACTCCTGTCTTCTACTGTCTCCCCAAGATGATAAAAAGTGGTGCAGAAACTTCTTAAGACATCAGTTTGTGCATACGTTTGGCAGAGATACCAAGATATTTTAACGAGATTATGATCTCAAAGGCCACAAGCAGGAATTATTGATATCGCAGCCCCCAAGGAAGCCTTGTATAAGGCTTATTCTACACCTTGTCTCTGAGTGAGGAAACTCATCGTTGAGAATCCAAGTTGAGATTTGGAGTTCCAATCTCACTTTGCTCACCTAAGCACTTGAATTAATTTTCTCAACATCGTAGCCATAACACTGGCAGAGCAGGTGGGGAAGTTATTTAGATGATATTATTTTAAAAAAATATTTTGACTGCACTTCAAATGGGCCACCACAAAGGTCTCCGTGTTGTGAAAACTCCGAATCCTAGACTGTGCCTGGAGTGGGTGGTCATGGGTTTCCTGAGAGGCATTCTTCCAGTACAGAGACAAGTGCATAAAATGTACCTTTAAACACTGTTCTTGTTCAGAACAAAAGCACACGAATATCCGATACCTACTTGCAAAAGATGCCAGTATCATGAAACTGAAACACATTTGAATAGGTGCTAGAGTTATAGAGCTGAGAACAACTATGCCTTCAGAGTTCAGAGCGACCTTCAGGGTTCAGGGCGATGCAAGTCAACCCACCAGTTACTGATATTTGACAATTCTTTGCCCGGCACTGTCTGCCTACCGCCCAATGTACAGATTTCGTCTTTTTCTTTAACATGCAAAAGTGCTAAGACATTTTAATTACGTTAAACTCACATGCCACTTAAATTAGGCACGACAACAACACATTTTAATTACTTTAAGTCCAATTCTTACTGGAAATAATCAATATTTAAGTTGAAAAGATGGGACCCACATTTGCAGACAGTAGTATGGGAATCGCTTTGAAGTTATAAGAGGAAGGGGAGTGTAGTTCTGGGCTAATGTGCCGCAGCACTTTTTATTATTACGGGAGTGCTTCTACATAGCAAAAGAAGCTTTTGATTACACACACACACACACACACACACACACACATTCACACACACACATTCACACACGCAGCGTGGTCTCCAGCCCCATTCCTCTCCTCCCCATCACTCACAGGCTCCCGTTGTTAATCATTTTATTTCAGCATCTTGACCTCTGTATTCAGAAAAATATGCTAGCTCTTAAGTCATTAGTTACATACTTGAGCTATTGACTTCCTGTATTCCTGTGGGTTCTGCATAAAAACAGAGCCAATCAAACGTGCGTGGAGAGAGGAGAGAGATTAAGGAATTGGCTGGTGAGTACGGAATCCGCAGAACAGGCTGGCAGGCAGGAGGCCCAGGGAAGGGTGGCCATCTAGGGGCAGAATTCCCTCTTCCCTGTGGGTCCTCTGTCTGCTTAAGACCCCTTAAGACTTCACTTGTGAGTTGATGTTCTGCGATAAGAAGACAAGGAACAGGTCAACTATACACAACACACAAGTCTGTTCTAGAAGTGAACCGAAGAATCTGTTTTGGTCTTGCTATGGAGGATGTATGAAGACAATAGACAAAGTTTAAAAGAAGTCCGCAGATTAAAAAATAAAAAAGACCTTCACTTGGTTGGATGAGGACCATCACATTGTGAAGGGTCCTGTGCTTTGTGGGAAACCTACAGATTTAAATGTTAATCTCATCTGTAACAATACCTTCACAGAGGCAGCTGGCCAGGGTTTTGAGCGAATATCCGGGTACTGCGGCCTTGCCAAGTGGACACGTGAAATGAGCCATCACGCTTCCTAATATGGTAGGTGCAGACAAGCTCCCTTCTCTTCCTATGTTCTCTCAATATACTGATATCACAATATTCAATATTTAATTATTGTAGCTATAAAAACTGTTTATAGGTGAGCCGAGAAGTGTGCCCTAATTGTTCCTTACTCATATAATGCTCTGTTTTTCCTCATTTTTTATTACTCACTCTCCTTTGAAGCTATTACTCAGTCCTTCCTCATTCTCTATGGATTCTCAAGGCAAAGTTTCGTGTTGCTGAGGCCGTCGGGTTATTTATTCCTCTCCTTCCTCCCTCCCACCAGTTACTGAAGGAAGAGCCTTCCTTCCGTAGCTCTCTGCCCCCTGTTCCAACCCGGACTCATGGCTCTCCAGGTGAGCGAGGCAGCTGTCATCTGGGCATGCCCTTCCAAGTCATTCTGGAAACTTCCTTCAGTCTTCCCGAGGTAGCGCCCCTGGTTCTGGATTTTCTCTTCTGTGGATGTGTCCTCCTAGAAAAGATGCTTGAGAGGGAAGAACTTTGCGTTTCCAAAAATGTCCAGATTGTACCTTAAGACTTGGTTCCACAAAGCATAGACTTTTAAATGAAAATAATGTTCATTCCATTTTTGAAAATTCTGCTGTATTTTCATAAGGCCTCCAATGTTTCTGTCAGGAGAGTGATGATACTTTTATGCCTCACACTTTACATGCATTTTTACATTTTTCTCTTCAGAAACTTCTAGAATTGCTTCTTTACCTGAGAAGTCCTGGTGTTTCAGAATGATATGCCTTAGCGGGCGTGCGTTTATTGTTCTGGGCACTCATGGACCATTTCCACTTTCCAGTGTAACTCACACGTGTAATTTCTGAGGTTTTTTCTTATTTCATTTCCTTGTTTTCTCTGTTCTTGTTGGATGTCCAGTTAATGAGATACTGGGATTCTCGGATCGGTTCTGCATCTGTTTCTCGCCTGCTTTTATCTACTCTTGTGTTTTGCTTTCCAAAAGGCTTCCTCGACCTTCTCTTCTGACTTTCTATGGAATTTTAAATCATGGCTGCTATACTTTTGATTCTCAGGAGCTTTGTCTCGTCTTCTGACTCTTTACTCTTTCAGGGCATCCTTTTGCTGTCTTTAGGGATGCAGCATTGCTCCAGCTCTCTGAGGATTTCAGTTTGAGTTCTGGTTTTTGCCTCTCGTGATGTTTTCTTCCATACCATGCATTGTCGTTTCACTGGGATTTCTGTCATTCTTTTCCTCTTGGTTGGGTCTACTTCATATTGGCGGCTTCCCCCACGTGGCTGGCAACGACTGGCTATTCAGTCGCATATGGATGATGTGCCCAAAATGTGACAAGTGACTTCACCTACATGGGTGGGGCTTTTGACTGGTCTTCACTGGGAGGAGATTGGGTAGCAAGACATGTATCCCTTCCTCTGGAGGAACCTCCAAATGTAAGTAACTCTTACATGAAAGAAGCATAAAGCCTTGTCCTCCAGACCCCAACCCAGAGTGCTGTCGGCTTCCTGGGGGTGGTGGGAAGGCTCTCAGAGGACTGAGGTGGGCTTGGCTTGCCAACAGGGACAAATGGGTACCAAGAATTTCCCTGTGAACCGCAATGTGTTGACTGAATGGGTGAAAGTGCAGGTACAAGAGGAGGGCACCAGAAAGATGAGGAAAACATCACCTGCTCCCTTGGCTGCCCTCACAGGCCCACCCATGGGCCAGCTCCCATGGTGTCCTGGGGAAATCTGGGGCCCCAGTCCAGGGAGGTCCACCAAGCCTGGGTCACTCGCAGGCCTCAAGGAAGACCTATTTCCACTTACCACAAAACCATCGATGGCATTGCTGAAAACATAACTGTTAAAATATGGTCCTTCTCTGAAAATAAAATACTAAAACTGAAAAACAGATATGAGCAAAAGCCAGGGGAATCTCGTGCAGCCTGCTTGGTAGGTCTGAGTTTTAAAGGGACATTGAGACCCAATATCCCAGGCTGAGTGGCACAGATTGGGACAGAGCCAAGGTCTGTGAGTTCCCATCAGGAGAAAATGGCCAGGTGCCCCAGTCCAGATACAAAAATGAGGGGGGGATTGAGACTTTTATGGAGCCCAAAGGTCAGTAACCACAGGTGCCCACACGGGCAGGGGCTTGGGGACAAACCTGACGGCTCACAGCAGATGGGTTCACATGTGACTATGAGAGGGGCCCATGGGCCATTTCTGGGGCCGGCGACCCTGGTTTCCAGAACCGAGTGTGATAAATAAACATTGACATTTTGGCCACTCGTGACACAGCATCGCCGCTGCCTGAGTGGGTGCCCCTCACAATGAAGGATTTGAGGCACAGCAGTGGGACATCCACTCATGCCCACCATCTCAGGTGCCCAAACCCCAACAGAATCCTCCACAACATCAGGGCCACCTACCAGGCGGGAAACCATGTTAATTCAGGACTTGCCACAGTCAGGGACATTACACTCCACTGTGTTCCAATGTCACAGCACAGTCTGGCCCATCAGAAAGATAAAAGCCTCAGGAATCTGGTGGCTAATTTGTGGCCCCTCAGAAGTGACATCACTGTCATCACTCAGGACACATGGGAGATGGATGTGCCACTCTTGACCTGGCCAACACCTCTCCTCACTTTGTCTGTGCGTGAGAGGCCAAGGCCGCTCTGCATGTACGTGGAATGGTGGGCAGTGTACTTTCCCTGAGCGCCTCCGGGGAAACCTGAATCCCCCCGAGACATGCCAACAGCGGGGAGGGCGGGATCTGTAACCAGTCCAATGACCCCCCAGAAGTACTTGTCACCCATTATATTGGTGACACCCTCATTGCCAGCCCCTAAGAAACAAGGGGACCACGCTCGGCATTAGGTCACGGACACTAGGACACATGCAGACTGGGTCACCAGCCCTGATAAGGCCCAGGACCTGCTCGACAGCTGCAGTTCCTGGGAACCACGCAGGCCAGCAATGGAAACAAAAGAACATTCCCGACAAGAACAAACAGAAGTTACTGCTCCTGACAACTGCCACCACCAACAAAAAAAACTCGGCACTGGTCAGCCTGTGTGGCCACGTGTCCCACATCTGGGTCTTCTTCTTTCATGTACTTATTTTTTTGATCACCTGAGGATGTGTTTTATTGATTTGAGAGAGAGATAGATTGATTGGTTACTTCCTGTATGCATCTTGACTGGGATGGAACCCGCAACGTAGGTATGTGCCCTGATTGGGAATCGAACCTGCAATCTTTTGGTGTATGGGATAATTTTCCAACCAACTGAGCCACCTGGCTGGGGCTGGGTAGTCTTTTAGCCCCTTCTGTCAAGGTTACCCAGGTTACGGCCACCTTCGCATGGGGTCTCCACCAACAGCAGGCCCCAGAGGCCAAGCACCATACAGTGATACAGCCCTGCTGTTGGCCCAGTGGAGCCCGCCAGCCCTGTGAAACGACACATTTCTGTGACTCCAGCCATGCAGGCTGGAACTGTGACAGCAAGAGACTGCTGCTGCTGGTGTGTGTTGTCTGTTGGGCTCGGACACAAAATTACCAGAGGCAGCGGCCAGATACCTCTGGGAGTATCTGGGAGTAACCTAAAGGGAGGCTTCTAGCCTCCTATTAAGCTTTACTGAAAACAGAGTGTCCGACCTTACGAACTAAGCTGCCCATCTTCAGGGCTCGATAAAGCTCCATCAGGAAATAAAAACAGTAGATCCAAGTGGGAGCCCATCCAGACCCCGTGGGGCCGGCTGACTCCAAAAACAAGCAGCTGCTTTGCAGAGGGTGCTGAACAGCTGCAGGGTGGCTCCCGTCCCTCCTTAACCAGGTGGGGCCATGGCTCACAGATGTCCCAACTGTGAAACTCAAAGTTGATGGAGTCTTCTGAGCCCGTGACCAGTGTCCTCTCCTGTTAACTGATACCAGACAGGAAAACTGCAATGGGCCGAGGTCCATACAACCTTAGCGCTTCACAGGCCACTTCAGCAGCAACTTCCTGCCACCTCCTCAGAGGCTCAGGGGCCCTTACAGACCCCGTCGCTACAGTCTGGTAACCGACAAGTTGCTCATGAAACCAGTAAAGGCTCCCTTGTGTGTGGGGGGCAGGGACTGTGGCATCTGTGGGTGAAATTAAACCCTATCCATCACTCACATTAACTACCTATAACAAAGAGCTATTAAAAAACAAAACTTCAAAAGGAACTCATGATGTAACCGAATGTGCTCAGCAAACCATCACACTTGCCCGCTGAGTCCGCCACAGAATGGACCATAAAAGACCACCCCAGATACAAAGGTGGACAAAATCTACAAGGACCCAGCTCAAAACATGGAAGCCGAACACACAACACAGTCCTGTGACTCCCGCCAGCGAGCGCAGGCTGTGCAATGTGGGGGCCTGGGCTCCATCAAGCGGGCTTAGGCCCCCCACAGACGTGGCAAATGGGCCACAGTGGACGTCCAGTCCCCCAGTCAGCTGCCCACCCTGCGGACATACATCCCAGTGGCCACACAGGACACAGACCATGGTGGTGGCACAAAAAACACCTCTGCCTCATGTTCAGATACCCAACAACATTCTCATCGGATCACGACACCAGAGTCACAGCCCAAGCAACACAGCCGGGGACTTCTTCCTCCGACCGAAGGTGGAGCCTCACACTCCCAGAGAGACGGGCAGAACAGCACTGAAATGAGTGGATCGAGCAACGACCGTACAAAGGCCATCGACAAAACAGCTCATCAGACGGGCCCCGCCTAAGAGAAGTCATTCGAACATCAAGCCCTGTGTTCCATCACACAATGGGCGACACTAAACTTGGAGGGGGTGGAGGACCAGTGGCACCTGATTAGGCTGCGAGGGTGGAGTCCCAGCCTCGGTATTCCCGTCATTCTTTCACTTTCCTCCCACTGGAGCACCCTCCCCGGGGATGACCTGTGCTCAGGGCCAAGCGGCATCCCCAGCAGGGCCTCCCGATTCAAATGGGAGGCAGTGCTACCCTTTGGGCGCCTCCCTCCTGGGGGAAGCCC